ACACGAAGGTTTTGTGAAGGTTAGAGAATAATTATTATAATAATAATATTACTACATCGGATAGTTAATGGTAAAAGAAATAAAGAAATGTTATTATATGCAATAATACACGGCGAAGTCTGAATCTGATTTAAAAATGTTAACACAACATTAACAGAAATATAAACAGCGTATGTAGAAAAATCTGTATACGTTAATTTGCTTCCGTAATCATTGCATTCCTGTATGAGCTTCTACAGTCTTACTGCGTAGTGAAGAAACCGTTCCTTTGTTCTCGCGACCTAAAAGATCTAAAAGCTTCCTTAGTATTTGCTTAGATGTAGATTACATATTTTTCCAAAAACAAACAAAAAAGTTGGTAATGACATGTTAATGTCACAGCGAACATAATATATCCTCCAAGGTGTTAAAACAATTAGTCTGTACGAGCCAAGGCTGTACACTTTCCTCACTCAGGGTTTTATTAGTTTTATACGCGGGGTGATTACCTAAATCGTTGGAGTCCCGCTGACCTAGGAATAAAGTCCAAGCCTTTGTTTTTATCTCATTACCTTATATTAATTTTTCCTAATAAATAATTGAATAAACTTACCGTGGGGGTGAGAATACAAGATGAAACGCAACGATTGTGCGCTTCGTTAGATTGTGATTGGCCAATTCTCAAGTTGTCATTAATATGCGTTGTGATATGACATGATACGTGATAACTCGTCTGTTTGTCCAACGTCATCTGCCTCATTCATTTTACATTCTCACTACTTGTTTTATTCAAATAAGCCTATTTTAGTTTGTTTTGTCTGTTTTCTAGATCTATTCTTCATTTAAGCTTTGTTTTCCTTTGATGACAGTGTTTATTTAATGTTTTAGGTAAAATAATTTCAATAAATTACCCTACGAATTACCTAACAAAACGTTTAAACACTGAACGTTGTATAGACTGTAAAACGCCAAAGCAATTCGGTTTACGCAAGTGATATCCAGGAATTAACCTCGATTTTTGGTAAATTACCAAACATCGAATCCGATCAAAATAGTTCGATTTCGTAATATATCTGAAGATTCAACATTGCTCAGATTTTGCTTATAATATATTGTACTAAAACTTACCAGTTAAACGGTGCTTAAAGTGAATCACATACGACTTTCTCATCATCGAGGACATTCAAGATATATGCTCCTAAAGTCACTGTTTTATTTTGTGTACATTTAATTATTATTTATATCGTTCAATCCTAGTGATTAAACGATATAAATAATAGTGCAGTATAAAAAATAGATTAAAAAGAATAACGAGTCTTGGTCATTGTAACATATTGATGTTTAAATAGATTTTGAAATTGTAGAACCAAGAATAAATAAAAATTAATCGCAAAACTCGAAGGCGGCTGCACCAATTTGATTAATTTATTCCTTTAACTCTGAGGAAGGTTTTTATAGAGATATATGTTTGAAAAATAAAAAAGTATGATTTGGTTCTTACGTTTTTATTCCTGAAAAGCAAACAGCAGCAACAATGGTCCATATGTTGGTATGTAGCTACTAAAAAGAAAGGCTAAGTAAAAAAATGCGAAATGAAGTGTCAGAGTGAAACGTGGGGTCAGCTTGTTTGAAATAATTATAAAACTGTCCTAGTTGCTTCTTTTTTAGTAATCTTACAGCTAACATACATATTATAAAACACAACACTTAGACAATATACAAATTCAAAACAGATTTCATTGATAAACAATATATATGAAAAAGAAAACATAATAGACAAAAAAGAAAAAAAAAAACAACGGAACTGATGCTTCCCTAACTTTACTGCAAATTGAAATGAACGCACTTTTATCCGTTATCTGTCCGCATTTGAATATGTGAAAGACAACAGTTGAGTTGAATAAGTTTCATCATCAGACGTCGAGGCAGAATTCCACCCGTATCACCTGGACGTCGTTCCACAGTCGCTTTTTAAGGGAATTTTTGTCACGCACCACCAATATGTGAAATATGTGAAGTATGTAAAAAACTTACCAACTCTTAAAAGACTGGCAATGCACTTGCGAGCCCTCTGGCAATGTGAACTTAACATAAGATCAGGTCAGCTAAATAAATGATACATGCGAAATCTGTTTCAAAGAATTATCGCGAAATCGCATAAATTATTCAAAATCGAGACGTTTTAGTATTACCACAGACTTGCAAATTAAGCAGAAAATCTCAGAGCCGGCAATAAATTAGCAAATAGGTTTGTATTGCACAGAAATAAATCATTGTTTAAAATAGAACGGTTTATAATTTTACAGTCGTTTCGCTGAAGTTAACACATGACCGGACGCATAATAATCGATGTCTGGTTTACCTCAAAATTATATTTGAGGTTAGATAATAAAATAACTGGCACATTTATTTAAAAATTAAATTGGCTTAAACACGTTGGCTCAAAATATGAATTGATTTTGACTAGTTTTTTTTTCTGTAGAGCACTTGTAATTGAGCTCTCGCGTATATTGAGAAATTCAGCCCAAGGAATTTGGTTTTCTCTGAATTTCATTTAATACCTATAATCAAATAGTTATAATAGTACTTATTGGAAGTACGGACGTTTCGAACCATCAAAAACTCAATCGATTGTGCCGTGGAATGTGAATTTTCTATTTTCATGGCGATGTAAATTACAATTTGTAAATTAGATAATTTGACTCAATTACATCGCACTGAAATAAGTAATATCATTGTAAAATACCTTACCTTAAGATATAAGACAAACATATGACTTTATAATAAAACTCATCCAAATTGGCCCATTTACCATGAAAAGTTTTACTTACCCCGCTCGCCAGCTACGACTGCTGTATTCAAAACGCCATGTATACCTATCTATAATAATAATCAGAGGCGCTACAACCTCTTTACGTCAGGGCCTCAGATTTCTGAATCTGTTTCATGATCATTTTCTAATCTAATAGGTATGTAAGTAGGTGATAAGCCTCCTGTGCCTGACACACGACTTTTTGGGTCTATGACATGTTTCCTCACGATGTTTTCCTTCACGGTTTGAGCGAATTTAAAATGAGCATATAGAAAGAAAGTATATTCTTGCACAGCCGGGGCTGGTACCTACGACCTCAGCTATGAGAGTCGCACGCTAAGGCCACTAGGCCAACACTGCTCACCGCAAGTATATCTGTAGTCGCGTAAATAAAAGACGGTTTCAATCTACGTTTATTATGACATAAATGTTTGAAAAATCACATCAAAGAATGTACCTAATCATTATGTCATCAACTGTCAACTATAAAGGTTAGGGGCGCGGGCACAGGCCATAATCACAGCTGGAGCCTTCCGCGTAGCTTCTCACACGACGACAAATGACTTAATGCTTCTTTAAAAACGATAAAATGTTAGAAGTAATACTTACTGCCGTTACATAGTATTTAGTAATGTGCTTTTCTTTTCCTGTAATGGCTTAGGGCTTTTGAAATTATTACATTTTCTAAGTGAGACTTCTTTAGGCGCATGTGGGAAAAATTTTCGAAAACGGCACGAAGATGTGCAGCGTTTTTGTCGAAGACAAGGGAGATAGCGATTGAGGCCGATTGAGAGAGAATGAGAAGTGCGAATTACTTTATAGAAATTCTATTTTTAAAATGAAAACATTCGTAAAGAGAATTTATGAATTAGTATTTTATATTTTATGCAAAATAATTTATTGAAATCTAAGTAAATGAAAATGCCACTTGTTTTTTTATCAAGGAAATAAATTTAAAAAATTAAATTTATTATTTGTATTAATTTTCGACAATTTTTTGTGTTTTAATGACAATTAAATTAATTAAATACCTAACATATCCTCCTGTTTTCCCTCCCTCTAAGTCTCGGAAATCAAAAGTTTTAGATTTGTATAAATATGAACAAGACTTAAAAATTAGTTTGCCAAAGAAGTATCACTTCTGACTTGTGTACTTTGTACACACGCACTTTTTTTTCAATTAATGTACCAAGTATTTTTTTCTAATATTATAGCTTGCAAGAAATATTCACAACTTCGTATAAAGTAGAGTACAAATCAAATCTCCATTTTATTTGCGGAAAGGAATATAAACAATGGATTGTTCAAAACAATGTTCGAAATTAAACAATGAATTAATAATTAGCTGCGTTTAAAACAAGGAATTGTTTTACGCAATTATTACTAAGTAATGCTGTATTTCGTAAAATCGAATGTATGAGAAACAAGATACCCATTGTTTGTTTTATTCGGGAATTGTAATTAAGCTTATGAAATACTATTTTAATCGACTTTAAACTGTCAGAAGGTTTTTAATTCGTAATCTTTTGAATCAAGACTGTATTGAATTTGAATTTTACATTTATATATTATTATGTATTGGTCTCTAAGCTCAAATTATTTTCACAATTTTTGTCACAAGTCGTTCAATCACTTTTATAATTGATTTAATATACTATAAAATTATAAATTACAGAACGCACGCGGCAATAATAATTTCAATAGTTTCGAATTTATCGTAATAATAATTTATTTTGCAAGAATATGGTACAAAAATGTTATGGTGGTACAATCTAAGTTCGCATATTCTGCCACACATAATGGCGTGCAAATTTGTCTTAAAAGGAATTTTTCATAGAAGTTACATACATTATGAGTCATATCGTAATAGTCAATTCTTATATTACTTTATCACTACATAATCACATTATTAAAATATACTTATTATTACGTTATCAAAGTAATATTAATTATAATGTTTTACTACTTAAATTTGAAGAAATGTGTTGTGGACTGTAGCGATATCCAATGTGATAGGTACAATCGGGTCGGTACATAGCTCTCTTAGATACTTTAATAAATAACGATCTTTTTACATAGAACCTCCAAAAACAATGTTATATACGAGAACTTCAGTGTATAGTTTACCTTCCGTTTATTGTACTTACCTAATAATCTTTCCAGATATACGATGTATCAATCAAGGGAAAATTCCTGACTGAATACAAAGATGGCGACAACAATGTCTGCGCCCGCGCACGATCATTACATCCACGACGAAGAGCTGAGACCTCAGCACTCTCGTGACAATTCCAGAGATTCAGGAATATTTCACACGACAAAAGGACTCTGGAATGCGCCAGGACTGAATAATTGTTTCCTCAACAGTGCTGTCCAGGTAAGGATATATTTAGTACTACTTAATAAATGAAGGAATATATTATTTTAAATGCAATATATCTGTATTATACTTTTGCTAGATTGTAATTTCAAATTATTGAATTAGTTTTAGCGCTTCTGGTTTTTATGCGAAAATACTATTAAAATTTAAATAATTTGCTTTGGATTTGTATGTTGTATTAGTGTTTTATTTTTTTATAATATGTGTATGTGTAGCTGTAAGATTAGGTACTTACTTATAAAGAAATATATAGATTAGAAGAATAAAAAAATAAAAAAATCTTTCTTCACAATATGACGTCTTAGACGTTGTCAAACTTAATGGAATCTGTAAATCGATTGAATGTGAATGTGTAAACAACGCAAGTGTTAGTAATTAAAAGTGCCGATTAAAACTTATTAAAAGCTTGACAAGATTCAAATGTCGTTATAACTAACAATATTTATTTACACAGCATAAGTTATTAGGCGACAGGCGGCCTTATCCATCACTATAAGCACTAATTGTTTAATTAAATGAATACATAACAAGTTTTTTCAACAGCTTCCAACTTTAATCTCAACAGAAATTTAAATCTTATAAAAAATGTGACAGCTTTTGATATCTTTCAACGAGACTTTGTGCTTTGAGATTATGGCTTACGTAAATCGGATAATAAATGACAGTTATTTATTTTAACGACATGTTTTTGGAGTCGTCTTGGAATGGAATACATTTTGTATTATCTATAAAAATAAGTAGGTATTAAAGATATTGTGACTTGGCTTCTATAGTGTGTTGAGTAAAATATGTACATATATACTATTTCTCTTTTAAAACACTTACTTGTTTGAAGTACTACGTCACCTTAGGCATCCAGTTTTACTCCAGCATTATCGGTCTGTATAGAATTTTTTTCGTTTACCAATTTAAATTTGGAATCAAAAAAATGTGTGATAAAATTTGTATGTTGAAAGGACGTATTTTAGTAAAAACTTTAGCTGCCTTTTCAAAGCATATTAACAAAGTTACACAGCAGTTTCACGAGGGTTTTTTATTATATAGAACAGGGGGCAAACGGGCAGGAGGCTCACCTGATGTGCTACCGCCGCCAATGGACACTCTCAATGCCAGAGATTCGCGAGTGCGTCGCCGGTGTAATATGACATTATTAAATCCCGTCAAACACACGGGGAACTCAGTTTTATGTACATAATTGTCATAATTATCTCAAATATTAAGCTACCTTGTATCTGTATAATCACGAAATTTTACTACTACAATTCGCTTTTACTCATATCCAAAAGATTTAATTCTTAAAAGAAAAAACAAATTTTTACATTTTAACTTGACATATATTATTTAATAGACGACCATAAATCACTACAGAGGTCATAGCTTTCCTTTATACTGTACGGTTAAGTGTTAGGTAAACAGTGGTCACTCTAAACAATATGTTTCATTCGTATCTTATAACGGTAGGTCTCATTTACCATCATGATATACCAATTGAAATCTTATCTTCATAGCAGGAGAGTTTAAAGTTCTTTCAAATAATAATGATGACACTAAGTTAGGGTCGGCCGATGACGTGACTTTTGTACCAAAGACGCTTTATTTTGATGTTTGACTGGTTGTTCGGTTTTTGACGTGACAACGTCTTAAGGCACAAATAGGGGTACCTGTTGAGGCGTTACCTCGCTCTGAGGCTTACCTCTCTCTGAGGCGTTACCTCGCTCTGAGCGTACATTTAAAATTGACAATTTATTTTGCGTACAAATAAATGTAACTTGATCAATTCAATTGTATTTCCATTTACCTCCTTCTCTATATCCATACAAAATACCTATCAAACAAATAAAATTTTTTTTTTTTTTTTTTTGAAAAATGCAACCATCCCACAATATTTTTTTATGACGTTGTCACGTTCAATATCGTCAGTAAACCGACTTTACAGACAACCGATTTTTTTAGTTGTTGATTTCTTATGTTGAATGAATTTGAATCTTATAGATTAGTCCCTTACAGAATGGTAAATAGTATATTTTAATAAAAAAAACGTGTGTGAACTGGTGTAACAAGATAAAAATCGTTTAAAAAAATTTCTTTCGCCTTATTCTACGTTTGTAGAAAACGACACTAACAATAGAAAAAAAGGAATTAATACATTGAAAGTTTTGTTATAATGCATTATCTAGTTAAATAAAGTTTATTTAAATATCACAAAAAAAATATTTCTACATAATTAAAGAAATAATTTTTTTTTTTAAATGTTGACTATGCTAACTTGTGTCAGGTTTTTGTGACGGCGTGCGCAACGCGCATCGTAAAAATTTACCCTCATCATTTTTCCCTAACGCGCCAAAAGAAGTGTAACTTCAAAAACTTTCGTGGTAAGCGAGTCTCACTGATTTCGAAAAAGTCGAAAGGTCGAGTTTTGTAAGTAACGTAATAAATTCGTATTTATAAAGTTTTACAAAAATGTGTAGTACTCGCGTAAACCAAATTGTTTGAAAGTACCTTTAAAACTATGGCTTAGTTTTCAACACTGAGTTTGTGAGTTCAAACCCAGATTTTTCTATGTGCACAATTAACAAGCTCATTCTGTAAATATGTATCGTGTAGACCTAAATCGACATCGTATGTCAGGCACAGAAGTCTTATCACCCACTTGCTCATAATGCCATCTGAGGCCTACTATAAAGGATTGTAGCGCCACTGGATTATTATTATTTTAAATGGATTATTATATGTTTTTATTTTAATTATTATTATACAGTATTTACAATTTTCTTAACCCGCATAGTTATAAAAAATAATATTAAAACAAATTTAAAAAGTTTGGTCCCTGTGGCAGTGTACATTTAACGCTGGCAGCATTTCCTCGCCGTATTGCGTTACTTATTTTAAATTGAAGAAGTATTCCTATTATTGTACAGTATTAACTTTGATGGTATAGACGTATTTATATAGTTTTGGCGATATGACAAATTTTAGGAATCACAAAACTTGAATATGTTTATAATATATTTGTTTAACTTTTGAGACTTATATCACGCTCTGCGGAAGTTTAAAGTCTAATCTTATCTTTTTGTAACGTAATTTCGACAAGTGTAACTTTTACTTGTTGTTCTAAATTTAAAGATATAATCTCCATGAAATAAGTGATGAAATAATACTGTCACATAGACACAGTTTGTTCAGTGTAATGTATTCATATCAAAAACAAAAGCCAACAAAGAGCTGACCATCGTGCTGCCTCTGTTTATTTAAAAATTAAGGGGACCGTTATATAGATAAGTAATTCTTAATACATAGGTATATTCTGTGTAAGTCCTGGACGTTAATAAAAAAAAACATTTTCGTTCTAATTACAAGTATGAAATCAGTCACAATATAAAACCTATTTTCATAAGAACTGCTTTGTTATAATAACCGTGTTCTCATTTCAAATATCGTTAGCTAACTACGAGTAACGAGAAAATGTGTCGGAAATTCCAATGTAGTTCGAGGTTGATGAATACGCTCCATTGTACATGCCCGTAATTACAACTAAGACAAAAAGTTTGGTCGGCCATCGACATCGCGTAATAGCTTTGGGTTCCAATCCATAAAAAGTAGAACAAATCATTATTCGAAGAAGAGGAGACGATACGAGGTTGATGCTGGCGATATTACGGTTCGGTACGGTCTACGTTTAGTAATATTTTTCCAAGGACCTATATAGAATTTTAACATGGAAAACCTAATAACCAAAATCATATTTGTTCTTTATAAGATATTAATAATGATTAAAATCATACTTTTAAAGTAAAATTACGCAAAATATGTTTCTACAAAATCTTATTACATGTGGTATTCCACATATTTTTCTCCACGCAAATTGCATGCAAATACCAGAATCATAATAAAATACAACAATAGGCGTGACTAACATTATTTTCTAGTTTCAAACCATAATATCTAGATCGACCTAAATCCGTGAAAATTGCCCTAGACGCGTGAGGGCATTGCAAAAAAAGTGGCACGCGCTAGGAATTCTAGAAAAAGGGAAAAATATTATGTTGAAGATTACTTTGATAGATTGCACGTTGTAATGCCATGGACGGGTCGGTAATTTGCTGGTTTTTTGCTATGAAAATTTCTTGAACAAATATTGATGCGTCTCTTATAAAACGTATAACTATACGATTTCATACATATATTATTTAAATGTATTTTTGACAATTGAACAAAAATCTGATATTTTAGTATATTTTAATGAAAGATAAGCAGTCATGGCCTAGTGGTTTCAGCGTGCGACTCTCATCCCTGAGTTCGGAGGTTCGATCCTCGGCTGTGCACCATGTGGCTTGAAAAGCGCATTCAACAAAGACTCAACTTTGGTGGAAAACATCATGAGGAAACAGGCATGCTTTAGAGTTTAGACATATAAAAGTCGATGTCTTAAAAGGTGATAGTAATTCTTAATTCTATACGAAACAAAAATAAGATCAGAATTATAAACTTAAAATCTTTAATTTCTAAATAGTCTTGATAATAAACTATCTGTAATAATTACAATATTTAATATTCAACTTCGACCAAGTTTCTAAACTCTTGTAACGTTATTAAATTATCTATGGATTGCTATAGATAATACGGGAGACGCAATCTGTTTAATGAGCTTTTGATAATCTTATCTGCGGTAGGGTTCATCAAACTCTTGATGGACTGACGCGCTTCTAACTTTGTATTGTTTGCGTAGATAAGCATTATTGAAGCTCATTTAAAGATTGTCAAGGCTTAAACATACTTTAAATTAGGTTATCGTAATACAAGCGATACAATACAAATTTTTATCAATACAATTACTCTTTATTGATTGATCAAATAGTAAGCCATGGAAGTTGATAGAACAGCCAGAAACTTGCGCAGTTTTTCATGATGTATTATTTACATTAGCAAAGATTTCTTGATCTATCTATCTATTAGAGGCGAGATTGAAATAAGGAAATAACGTTTGTAGTAAAACTGACGCAAATGAGCACCGGGGCTTACGAGTATAACTA